GGGGGGGGGGGGGGGGGGGGGCGGATATTTTATCATAATTCTTATCTCCAGACACGATCCCACTACTTATCCCATCGCCATAAATTCGAACGAACGTATCTTTTTCTGATCGATAAACCTCCGTTATATTACTTAATAAGCATTTCGTTAGGCAAGTTAATTTTTAAAGCACAACACCACACTCGCGTGGATCATTGGAAATCTAGATCCTCGATCTGGGTGCGAGTCCGAAAGACGATTCGAAAAATTGCGTTATATTTTTTTGATTTATAATTTTTTTTTTACAAAAACTCGAATTTCGCGCGATCAGCCATGAAAATTTTGTACACTTTTGTGATGTCACAGAAAATTGGATAAAAATAAGATACAATAAACGGGTCATCGCCAAAAAAGAAAACAAAAAAAGAAAAATTAAAAGCCAGTTACGAGACCAAGTGAATATCCGATTGAAATTTTTTGAAATTATGTTATATCAAAGAAATTTTTTTTTTTCAAGACACCTACAATCGTTACCGATCCAATTTCTCCACCGAGCGACTCGCAATTACGAATCTCAGTAACGCATACTTTTGTCTCTGTCTCTCCTCAATTTTCTTTCCCTCTTTACACGCGTAGAATTTAAAAAAAAACGGCGATTCTTTCGGCAACGTCACTGGATACATATCACACGTGGCTCGAGAATTTCTTTTTATGTTGCCACAGAGGAGAACAATTAGTAATAATTATTAGCGTTATCATTATCATTAGTAGCCAATCGTGACGATTAACAAACGTAACTAAATAAAAACGGCAAATTGCTGTCTGCCGTTGGGTAAACAAATCCGAGTAAACGTCTCCCTACCTCTCTCTCACTCTCTCTCTCTCTCTCTCGCTCTCTCTCTCTCTCTCTTTCCCTCGTCGCTTATCGTACTAATCGCACATACGAGACGAGAGCCTCGGAAAAAATACGACAGAAATTCACGTGGGAAATAAACGAGCATCTTAAAGGTTAAATCTGAATTATTGAAAATAGCCACGAAATTCGATCGCTTTTGATGTACAAAGACACCAAAAAAATTAACACTTTTAACGGAGTCGACCGAGAGTACAAAAATACTGAGTAAACAGACGATCGAGCGAAGAAGATTGAAAACGAAGGATTTGAATAAACAAATGTACAATAAATAAATAAACGTATAAGCATACGAGTAATTGACAATAAAGCTACGTAACGTGACATAGGTCAATACGTAATCAATTAATTAAGGCACGATGATGCTTATGCTTATCATCTTAATGCAGTCTCCCGGGCAAAGAGCAAAATAAAGACGGCAAAAGATTTGTACCGCCCGCAGAGTGGTTACGAAAATTGCAGAATTCTCAACGGCATTGATATCTCTCCAGAGACAATCACAGCCTCCCGGCACAGAAGATTTCATCTCGTATCGAGTAAATCTCTACCGCAAATGTCGACTGTGTCGGAACATTTAATTAATTGGAAAAAAAAAAAAAAACACTATGTGCAAGAGAACCCACAGTCTCGGCAAAACGCGAAAGTAACTATAAAATCATTAATTTCGTGAGAGAAAAAAAAATTTTGAAAAAAAAAATTCAGAAATTTGTCAAACACATACACCCGACACTAGGAAACTGTCGCGAGTTCATTCAGTTTGCCACGGCACGAGATGCGTCTAAAGTCACGCGAGTGTAAAAAAAAAATCGACTAAACCCCTTAACAAAAAAAAAACCATATCATATATGTCAAGTACACGTACGTTCTGTATTACTCTTGGAAATGCATTCCAAAAAACGACAAAGACACATTCACCCGTCGCCCACCCGTATACGACCGGCGGAGACGGGGGAGGGATAAAGAGAAGAAATTGAAATAAGAGAGAAAAAAAAGTAACCACCCTCACGCACAGACATACAGGAAGCATCGATTACGTAACGAACGAAAAAAAAAAGAAAAAAAAACCCCGTGCCCCGTCGATCTTAAATCATTTCATGTTGCAGGTATTTTTGACGACAATTTTTTTTCTTCTCTTTTTCTTCTCCCTCGTCCACATATCGAGGAATAAAGGCCCTTCAATTTAATTCGAGCTGAAAGCCACTAGGGGGGGGGATGCTTCTTCTTTTCGTTATACTTTTTTTTGTTGCCCACCAAAAATTCCCCCCTCCCCCCTGCCGGTTCCGTTTCGGTGGCAAACTGTCATTAAACGTTCATAATGTAAACACACGCACGCACGCACGCACGCACGCACTCACAGACACAC